AAAGGAGGTGAGGGGTGGGGGGGCAGAAAGAGGAGACCAAAGCAGACGAAAGAATATTGCTAGAGAGCAGGAAAGGAGGTGAAAGGAGCCAATTTTACAGAATAAAATTATTTTTTTTGGTCGCTACCCGGATTCGAACCCGGGACCTTTTGAATGAGAGGCTAACACCTTAACCTCTAGGCCACGAGAGCCCCCTGAACTGGGGTGTGTTTGCTACATACAGTCCAGATTGTCAAAGTAACTGGTAGTGTGTAAACTTCGGGTATCTTTGTCACGTCCGGTCAAGGACTCGTCTAAGAGCCTCCCTCTGATTGTAACTTTGATTATAAATGAACTGTTTTACTCCCCATTCAACGTACTTTAGATCATTTAGTAGACAAGATGCTTCGACCCTGCCTGTCAAGGCCATACGGTGTAATTCTTTAAGTTTTTATTTTATGCCACCACCGACACTATATAGATAATTTAGAAGGCGGGCTTCAACCATGTACGTCAGGGACAACCCAGGCTATTTCTTTCTTTCTGTGGTAAGTGTTTTACGGCGCTCGCATCTGCATAAGGTCATATGAGTGCGCTGGACACATTTAACTTTTTCAGTTGGTATGAAATTTTGAATTTTGCCCGGTGGCGGCCGAAGCCTACTCTTATCGATTTCAGACCACATTTCTTTAACGTGCGCAACTTGCACACGGACCATCCGAGATCATTCGCCCTTGTCCGAGAAGGCTACGTGTAGATTTTTCCCACCAGAAGATCAGGGGTGTGGCTGAAAGACAGCAGTAAGAAGGAGCTAAGGAGTAGCAGTAGAAAGGCTGCAGAAAGAGTCAGGAGCCCAGACGAGGGGGCAAAGGAGATGAGGGGGTGGAGGCAGAAAGAAGAGACGAGAGCAGAGGACAGAACATTACTGGACAGCAGGAACGGAGGTGAAAGGAGGCAATTTTAGAGATGTAAATTTTTCGGTCGCTACCCGGATTCGAATCCGGGACCTTTGAATGAGAGGCGTACACTTTAACCTCTAAGCCACGAGAGCCCCCAACCCGGGCTAAGACCGATGGATACAACATCCAAAACAGAATGACAGGGATACTCAATACAAATTCTTCCCACTTGGGAATCGAACCTGGGTCTCATGTGTGAGACAGCGAAGCGCCTGATACTTACATCGTAGACGACGGTTGTCAAGGCCAACCAGGACTGATGGCAAGTAAAGAGTTTTTCCGCACTTGCGACACAAATCGGTCAAATAAGTGCCGAATATTAGAGGTGTTACTAAAAGTAACAAACAAAGAAAAGACAGAGAGAAGAACTATAGATGTGTGACAGAAAAAAAGCATCCATCAACCACCCACAACGACAACTTCAGCGATAACGAGCACAGACGTGGTCTCACCTGGAACGTGATCTGGCAGGAGATGTCATGAAGGTAATTATCTCCAGACTCCTGGGAGTGAGAGTAGACTACAGCTCCACCCAACGGCTTCTTGTTTCCGCAATCTTTGGCTTCCATGTAAACTGAGGGTAGAACAGGAGGATGTGGATGTGAAACTGAGTTCAGAAAAAGTTGGATCAAGAACAAAAAATAATAGGAAACAATAGAACTGCTGCAAAACGAAACATCACCACCATCTATAAGTATGAAGACCCATACAGTCTGTAGTACTCGTCTGCGGCTGACAGTTTAAGTTAAGAAAACCACGTCGGCCCGAGAACGGCTATTTAGTACAAAAGTGAAAACTAGAAAGACAGAAATAACAGATGGGAAATAAAATAGGACATACTATCTAGTAACGCCCTCTAACCACCGCAAATGATGCAGGCACGAGAGGATTTTTGGGGGGGTTTTTTTTATGTTTAGCTTGTTTTGTTTGTTTGTTTGTTTTTTGTCTAAGTGTTTTTTGTTACCTGTTTGTTTTTCTTTTCGTTTTTCTTTAAATTCGTTAGTTTTGGTAACCTCCTTCCTGCTGAGAGACACGCATATGCCAGATCCTCTGAAGTATAAAATTGGTATCTTTTCATCCAAAGTAATAGCACTATAGATCTATTTTCTGCCGAGTTATCCCGTGCTCATCGACCGACAGAGGGTCCCGGCCAGCTGAATATTATAATTATAGAAGGACTCATTTTAAAAAACAGCATGGGACAAGCATTTGAAGTGACCTGTCTATTATGTAACGTTTACACATAGATAGATGGATGGATGGACAGATGGATAGATAGATAGATAGATAGATAGATAGATAGATAGATAGATAGATAGATAGACATCTAAGAGCACTGTCCTCCTCTTTGACGTTCTGGGGTCGTATTGTGGCGTAGAGTGTGTCAGAAATCCTTGTGTTGTGGACTATCCATGCGCAGGCAGTTCAGGGGGTGATTGTGTTGGTCATTCAAAAAGAGGATTGTGAGTTTTTGTAAGGGGTTGAATACGTTTTTCCTAGAAAGACGGTGGTTGCGTCTGCTTGTGTGTTTACGAGTGTTTGTATGTGTATTTGAGGGAGTAACTCAGAGTGTTTCGGTGTGTGAGCATGTGTGTGAGTGTGTGTTTCTTGCGAGCATGTATGTATGTTAGAGAGGGGGAGTCATGAAAGAAAGGGAGAGAGAGAGAGAGAGAGAGAGAGAGAGACAGAGACAGAGAGAGAGAGACAGAGAGAGAGAGAGACAGAGAGAAAGAGACAGAGAGAGAAAGAGACAGAGAGAGAGAGAGAGGGAGGGATCGGCAGACAGACACATAGACAGACAGAGACAGACACACAGGCAAACAGACACACAAACACTCTGACATAGTGTGTTTGTTTGGGTTCGTTTGTCTTTAAATATGTCTGCGCGTGCCACATACAAGTGCATTTGGGTGTATTCGTGTGTTTATACAGGAGTGCTCGCACTCATGAGCTTGTGTGCGTGAGTCCGCGAGTCAGTGCCTGTCTGTCTGTCTGTCTGTCTATCTGCCTGTCTGTCTGTGCGCACATTCTAAATAGAAAACCCACAACAAAGCAGGCCAAACACAAAGGACACAGACAAACAACGCACGCGCAAACTCGCAGTGAGCACCAGTGCGTTCACTGTGTTCAAGATCACACACACAAAAAAAGACCAAAAGAAGCGCTCTGTGCTTTTTGCCCGGAGGGCGCTCACACTCACAGCAATGTTCAAGCCAAGCGAGAAGGCCAGAGCTAAACCGGTGGGGGGCGGGGCAGGGGCG